TCCCACAAATAAAGAAGCTACAGGAGTGTCAAATCTATTTGGATCAATAAGCAGCCTATTTAGTGCTGAGCCCCCTCCACCTCAGAAACAGCAAATGAAACCGAGTGTTACAGAAGGTTCATTGACATCAGCATCTAAGGGTTTACAGAGACAACGAACCATGGACCAAAGCGGTAGCCCTGTGCCGAGCCAACCCCCAAACAAAAGTATATCCCAACCATTTCCTCCCAGTCATTTGCCAGGCCCTTTTACAAGCCAATCAGAAACTATGCCAACTACAGAACAGAAAAAAAATGAAACTAAACCATCTGGCGGACTTTTTGGATTTTCTATCGGAGAAATGCTGTCAGGATCCGCAACTGCCCAATCAGGACCCACACCTCAATCAGCTGCATCAACTACAGCTCCACAAGAAGAATCACTGGGTAAAAGTATATTATCAATATTTAGTGGGCCCAATCCCCCACAAGCTGCAACTACAACTGAGCCATTGCCTCAAGCACGACCACCAAGTGCAGCTCCACAACCTCCTCAACAGGAATCACTTGGCAAAAGTTTATTATCAATGTTTGGAGGATCAAGTCCTCCTCAGCCTCCCCCTCAAACCAGGCCTACTGCTGACGTACCACAACAGGGAACTGTTCCTCCTAAAGACCCCCCAAATACAGGATTCCTTTCAATGTTTGGTGGTCCCAGCAACCAACAGCAAGCTCAAACAGGATCTTTACTAGGGGGGATTTTGCCTGGGTCAACAAGTTCAACTGAAAGCCCAATGAAGGGACTGTTTTCAATGTTTAGTGAACCCAGTCCTCCGCAACCTCAGCCAACAACACCCTTATCTCAACAAAAAGTAGCCAAATCACAAACTCAACTACAAGGGGAACCCAACACACAATCTAAACCACAAGCACAGCCACAAGGACAAGGGCAGCCAGCTGCCTCTGTACTTGGGGGAATATTAGGTGGCTTTTCTACCTCTAGTGACACTCCAAAAAGCACTTTGTTTTCCATGTTTAGAGGACCCAGTACTCCTCAATCAGCGGGAGCTGCACCACCAAAAGAACAGGCAAAGAGTATATTCTCTGTTTTTAATGATGTATTGACACCTCCACAACCTCAACAACAAACTCCCAATTCATCATCAACTTTTGACACTAAAGTGCCACCAACAGCACAAGGTTCTTCCCAAATATCATCTGTTACCAGTAGCCATGGCCAAGCAGCACCCAGTGAAATATCAAGTGATGTGAATGTAAGGTCATCCAAAGAAGCTACTGTAGATACTTCACAGGATGCTTCAAATAAAGGCACTGATATTGCATCTATGGATCCAGATTCAGAAATGGTCCCTGTTCAAAAGGAAACAAGCACAGAAAGTGCACCCCAAGATCCTACCACCAGTAACCAATCCCCATCTTCTGGCTTTCTGTCTATGATTAGTGGATCAGATCCCAAAGACCCACCAGGCAAAGGTCTGATGTCCTTGCTAGGAGTTTCTGCTCCTCAGCCTTCTTCTCAGCCTGAAAGTTCTCTATTAGAGGCAATGTTTGGAGGCTCTTCAACCCAAAAACCAGCTTCTCAAACAGGGGGGTCTTTACTAGGTGGTTTATTTGGAGGGTCTGCTCCTCAGGCTTCTCCTCAGAGTGGAGCTCATCCGACACCGGGCCCTCAAACAGGGGGGTCTTTACTAGGTGGTTTATTTGGAGGGTCTGCTCCTCAGGCTTCTCCTCAGAGTGGAGCTCCTCCGACACCAGGCCCTCAGACAGGGGGATCCTTATTTGGAGGCTTATTTGGTGGATCTGCTCCTCAGGTTTCTACTCAAGTTGGTACCAATAAAAGTGGAGCCTCTACCACACCAGGCCCTCAGGCAGGGGCATCCTTACTTGGAGGCTTATTTGGTGGATCTGCTCCTCAGGTTTCTACTCAAGTTGGTCCCAATAAGAGTGGAGCTTCCCCCACACCAGGCCCTCAGGCCGGGGTGTCCTTACTTGGAGGCTTTTTTGGTGGATCTGCTCCCCAGGCTGCAGGATCTCCGACTGCAGGGTCTATCTTGGGTGGTATTTTTGGGGGATCAGCAGCTTCAACAACAGCACCTCAGACAAGTGGGTCCTTTGGTGGATTGTTTGGTGGGACTGCTGCCCAGACTTCAACCACCCCAAATACTAGCTCTATATTGGGAGGTATTTTGGGAGGGTCATCTTCTCAAACCGCTCCTGCACAGACAGTCAAATCTGCTCCCAATCATATTTTACCTGAAGCTTCAGCTCCTAATGAGATACCTGGTAAAAGTTTGCCTTCTATACTTAGAGGATCTGTTCCTCCCGCTGTAACAGCTACAACATCCATTGATGACGAGAAAACTACAGCTCTTACAGACACTACTTCAGATGTAACAATTCTACCAAAACCCGATGATGACAGTAAAACTGCTCCAGCTCTAGCAGGTCCTGAAATATATGCAAGTGATAAAGTTACAAAAAGCAATGAAAACGCAGAAACATTAGAGCAGCCTGGCGGTACAGTCCAGTGTGTTAAGGCAAGCTTACCAAAAACTGATGGCGAAGTCACAAAAGAAGCTCATCACCAAGATGCTGACAAGCCAACTACCAAAGCTAATGATATTCAGTCCAAAGAATCTGAATCATCTACACCAGAGCTTTTAAGTGGTCAGTCAGGTCAAAATGCAACACTCTCTAAAGTAGAGGAAGCAACACCAGCCACTCAGTCAGCAAGTACTGTAGTCGAGGAACAACAAAAGCCTACAGAGTCAGATGAATCTATTGGTGACACAGCAGCAGATGCAGTCACAGGCTTTATGTCCTCACTTTTCAAACCAACAGTTGCTTCCTCTGAAGTTCCTCAGCAACAGCAGAAGAACTCACTTTTTGGACATGGAGCAACGGCAACTCAAGCGGCTACTGGGCAGAGTGGAGGATCACTGTTAGGAGGTATTTTTGGGGGCTCCAATACCGAGACTACAGCTCCCCAGATAGGGGGATCATTACTGGGAGGGTTATTTAAGGGGTCAGCGCCTCAGCCTGGTCCTCAAACCCCTGCCCCCACCCCTGGAGGGTCAATATTAGGTGGTATGTTTGGAGGAGGATCCACTGCCAAGTCTGTAGGTCCCCAGACTGGTGGATCGTTACTGGGTGGGATGTTTGGAGGATCTGCGGCAACAGCACAGCCTGGAGGTTCTTTACTTGGAGGAATGTTTGGAGGAGCCACTGCTCAGACTGCAGGGTCACAGGCTGGAGCATCAATACTTGGAGGCATAGGTGGATCTTTATTTGGGGGTGTAGGCCAACCACTCAAGCCAACTGAACCAAAGCCAGCTGAGTCAAAGCCAATGCCTGCCATTACACCACAGTCACAGATTAAGAATGAAAGTGTGCCACCTACATTTACTCCATCTGGCACTGAGACTACCACAAATAAAAAGGTGGACCCAACCCTACCAGTTCACGATCAAGTCAAATCTGGCAACTTGACAAGTAGTAGTGAGGTGGCATCTGAGGCGGCTTGTCCGGAAACCTCTGTGACATATGACACCATCCATCCAGGTGAAAACTCTGAAAAAGAAACGCCAGCAGTTGAGGGAGACATAATACATGAGAAGCCCATGGTGATTAAGGGAGACTCTGAGAGTAAAGAAAGTGACAAATCAGTCCCTCCGGATAATAAGGAAGCACATACTGATTTAACTCCTCCGGTTAATCAGTTGCCCAAAAATGCTGAGCCACCTGAAGCCAAGTCCCTGTTTGGTTTTATGTCGACACAAAGTGATGCAGGAAAATCTTTTGGATCTCTATTTTCACAAACACCGTCCTCAGGTATTCCATCAATGCCTCAAACTGAAGGAGTGAGTGGTCTGTTTTCAGGATTTAAAACCCTTTCTGGTGGTCTATTTCAAGATGAAAAACCTGTTGCTGGAAAACAAGAGCCACCCACCACGTCATTATTTGGCACAAAAATCAGTTTTCCTTGGCAGGCAGAGCCACCGAAACCACAAGCTCCAGTTGTAACATCCCAACCCAAAACTGACAACAAAGCAACACTTGGTCAAACTCAAACTGTACAAAAGGTTGCAACAGCCGATGCAAACAAATCTGAATCGGTAGGTTCATCAGATGATGTAGCAAACCCCCAGATTTGCATCTCCACTCCTGAAGTAGATCCTTCAGCATCCCTGACCCCAAAGGAGAAGGAAGGGCTTGTAGAAACATACCCCTCTGCAGGTCCTACCTCTGGAGTGCAGCTGGACATCCAGTCCAAGAAGGATCTATTGAATGCAAAAAGGCTAGTGAAAGCATAATGAATGGCATCCTCCCTTACCATTTATGATGCATTGACGTTTTGGAAAAACTGTATTCCCTGTTCAGCTCTGCAATCCATCCTCAATAGTTACATTTCATATTTAGCTTGAGTTTATGTATTTGTGTGCATGAGTGTTTGTGTGTGTTTTGAAATGATTCTTAGTTTTATTTGTAGCACCTTCATAATTGTACATGTCATTTTAAAACAGAATTCCAAAACTAAATGTACATCTTAATATATTCATGGCTAAGTGAATGTACTAATAATGATTTATATTGCATGTACGAAAGACGAGTCTTTTGATATATTTATAGTTAAATATAAGCATACAACATTATAAACGATATACATTTAGTTTGAGCATGGAATTCTGATCTGTGTTGTGTTTTTGCTTTCGGGTGGAAATAATTGTTGTTGTTTATATATAAACAGAAATCAACTTTTGAATATCTTTAAAATTGTATTCTGAAAGAAATGTAGCTAATCTGCATCATGCCCCGTGAATATAAAAGTGGTTATGAAAATGGGTAAAAATTTAAACACAGGTTATGTTATAATCCCCACTTGTCTAACCTTGGCCACAGGAAGAACAACTGTAACATCTAGAAATAGTCTTTTACCTTGTGCTGATTTAACAACAAAAGTAATGTGACAATATTTTCCTCACTCCTCTCTCCCAATTGTAGTCCAGTGGAAAGTAGTCGCTTTGGGTCATCAGGAAACCTGAGCCAGACCAGCTCCCAGCTTAGTGAGACTGGCCAGAGCACTGGAGGGTCAGAACTGGAGGAGTCCTTCCACTCCTACCACAGTACTAGCTTTCACCCCTCCACCAATGGGCAGCCGCGCACCAATGGACAACCTCCTACAAATGGACACTATACCGTCGGTGAGCAGGAGATACGCGGACTGATCTCTGAAGAAGGACAGGGCCTGAAAAACGACACTCCAACAGAAAGGGGGACCTCTAAACTCCTAAGGTATGCTCTAAATTCAATTTGGTAATATATGTGCTATGATGAATATCCATAAGAACTGAGTCTTAGAACAAGTCTTTCTTTCCATCCATGTAACCCAGGTTCCATGATGATGGACCGCCATTACCCTTTACCCCATCCAGAATTTGTTGGTTGAAGGCCATCAATAAAGTCAGGGTTCAGCTCCGGGAGGTAGGCAGTGGTTAAATAGCATTGCTCTACCAATATCTGACTTCTAATCAACTCTGAAGTCTGACTACCCTTTATACTTTACCATAAACACACAAAAATTAAGCTGCACTCACATGATCCGCGATTTTCTCTTTACTCACTGCGAGTTTGCGCACAGAGCCTTGGAAGGAAGTTTTGTTTCTATTGTTGGCTCCCTTTCTGGCTTGCGCCACTTCCTACTGCTGTCCACTGATTGGTTGCCCCTCAAAAGGTCAGCGGTGAATGTGGTCAATTTTTAAATAATATATACTTTAAACGCAGCGCTTTGCAAGAATTTTCGTTCTCTCCTTAGGAGCATAACGGCAACGTCAGCATGGATGCAGTTTTTCGACATATCGTGTGAATGCAGCTTAAGACGCATACCTAGATGGATAACACATCTGCGAATATTTGTATGTTGTTGAGTTTTACCTCTTTGGTAGTTTTTAAAATTATGCACCAAAATAGTTTTTTGGAGACAACACGCGTATGCTCCTCTGCAGGTTGCACACATGTAAACGGAGGTTAATTACACACTTTTGATAGCGTCTGGGCAGCAATTGTGAAACAAACTACTTGCGATTCAGCAACTCATTAAAAGCCACAACATAAATGTTTTTCAAGTTATGGATGAGTGTATTTGATTTAGTGTCACCCACCTCTATATTTCTTGCATATCAGATCTGCTTTTATGCGATAGCCATCCAGCAAAAATGCTGCTTTAATAGAGGTTCCAAGAAACATCTAATATTTAATAAATCAGATGAAACTCCAGTTATGATGAAGTTAGCTCTCCCTATGTTTACATGGGTCAATCACTAATTTCTAGTATTATCAGAATCTGTAAAATAATATAAAACAATATATTTTGCACTAATACCCAATGAACCAATATCTGTAGTCCAGGGACAAGATACAAATAAGGTTTGTACTGATGAGTTGCATCTTCTGCTCATTTGAATCACCCAGCATCTCATCCCTACGGGTGGACAAAAATAATTGAGTGTTTCCAAGAATTTGAACAATCTAATGAGCGGGGACGTTCTAGCTTAGAAGATGGGATGTGGGAATTGCATCATGATAGCCATTCATCAATCAAATCATGTTTATAGTCTATAATTTTTCAGATCAAGGAATGAACTTCCTGAGTAATAAATGTTAATTTTTACCATTTTCTGAAAAAGAAAAATAGATAATACAAATCGAGGCATGACATTGTTTTTGTCTCCATCATATTTGACTTTTGGTATCGGGATAAGATGGCATAGCCTCATATTGAACTACATTGTACAATACCATATAGGATAATTTGTATCCAGCGCATGTATGTCGGTTCTAATCCTGCGGGTACAATCGTAAATCTTTAGTGGATGCTCGTAATGAAATCATCAGAATCTCTCAGCCCTAACTGTGGTTCATCGCCTTGATTAAGCTTTTTATGGCACGGCAGTAAAGGAGTACCTAATGTAGGACCTCGATTGGCTCCTTTATCGTGATTGGTTTACATGGGATGGTTGAGATTAACATGTACTGTAAATGACGGCTGATTGAAGAGTATAACTGGAAAGCAAGGTGAAACCTGTCTAATGCTGCGTTCACACCGGACGCGATGCGATGTTTGGGGGCGGCGCGATTACTTGTAAAGTCAATGCAGAGACGCGGACAGACGCGAAATCGCTCCGAAGGCAATCATGAAGCAGTGGACGCGAATTCCGCGGCGCGATTGAAGGGAGCCGCGACAAACGCTCAAGTTCAATTTTTTCAACTTGAGCGTCATATTCGCGTGACACGATCTCGCGGTAGCCAATCAGCGGTGACGATCTCAGCCTGCCGCCACTGACGTTCAACCAGAAAACATCAGCCGTTAGCTGTTAGCAGTTAGCACACAGAGCTCACAGTTCCTCATATCTTTTCAGAAACTGGACAAAAGTTAAACAAGTACAAACCACAGACTGCCTGTGTCATGGTGAATACAGTCGCTGGTTTATTTATGTCTGTAGGCCGTTGGTATGAGTGTGGAATGAGCATATACAACGTTAGCTTAGCCTGGTCTACCCGATCTCCATTCAGAAAACAAGCATTTTAAAAGGTTTTTCACCTACCGTCTGTCTTCAGACTTGTCAAGCATTAATTCATGGTTTTTACTAACCGGTATCAGTGTGTTGTTACTTCATTCATGTTGCATCATTTAGAAACGTGTATTATAATTTAATAACGGTAAAATATGTTCATTTTCTTGTAGTTGTAGCTCCCGAGCCAGCGTGTCTTGTTTGAATGACACGAGTAAACACAGCTGGCAGCCGCGGTGAAACTCGAGCGTTTAGAGCGATGCGATAGGAGCGATTAGAGCGAAGCGAATATTCGCATCGCGTCCGGTGTGAACGCAGCATAAGGGCAATTTAATACAGGATGAAGGCAAACACTTAGGACACAAGTCTAAATGCTGAAAAGACTGTAATGAATTAGAATGGGTTGTTAATCCGTCCATCATCAACACTGACCAGGATAATAAGACATTGTAAAACATCCTCACATGCTTGTTTGCATTCGTGGAATAGGATAAGATGAGATATGTGGTTTGTTGACAGTTTCCTTGAAAATGTTTGGAAGCAGTGACAAACAAGGGGCATTTAGAGCAGGAAATGGAGCTGGCTGTCAGACCAATTTCCAGTATCATTTTCCAAACTCACTGGAATACAAATTATTTCTCAAAATGTTGCATTGACAAGTTAAAAGCAGTCAAGTATAGTTAAAGAAAAGCAGCAATACTGATATGTTTATCAGGGGTGTTTTCACTTTTTTATGAATAGAAAGAGAAACATCCCGAATATCAGCTGCTGGCAGATGTGGATACAGAAATTGAGTGAATGAGACTGAGCTGGCACTCTCACAGCTTCAGATTAGCTTTGTGCTGGAATACATTGCCAGAGGAGGGAAAGAGAGGGAGAGAGCAAAGAAAGCATGCAAGAGGGTGGGAGGGGGTTAGGGATGGCTACTTAACCGAGGGTGAACTGCTGTGTGATCGCGCTCTACTACTGTCGCACTTGCCAGTAGAAGAGTCAGCACTTCTGCATCTCGGTCAGTTAAAGGAGATATGCTGGTGATTGATGGATTGATTGATTGAGAAACATTTCAACATTCACCCAAGCATATATATATTTTTTTTAGTAAACAGGGATTTTTCTTTACTGACCTACTCTGCAACCCTACATGTGGACTTAACAGATATTGCCAGATGATGTCTACAGGTTGTTCCGGATCATAATTTCCCTGATAAGGTAAGCATTACATTTTATTATTATTCTATTAAGCATTAAATCTCAAGTTTGTGTTGACTTTAATAATGTAATACATATAAACTCATGTGTGTTAATGTACATAGAAATGGTCGTTCAATGGAAACATCAGAATTTCCGCCTATTTAAGTAGTCAGTTTATCAAAGTTTTTAAAGCAAATGTTATTATTTGATAAGATGTAAACTTAACAACCTCAAAATAAAATGTATTTCTGTATTCAGGCCTCAGACCATTTACTGTAGCAAAGACAGAAAGAAGATTGCTGCAGGCTATTACAATGACTGTCCTGGAAATTGGGCCTGACCCCAACATCCCTTCAACCTTTCTTTTTCCTGGACAGCTGACTTTTAAATCACTGACTATTAGAGGACACCCATTGCAGATCATGGCTTCTTTCAAAAGAGCCAGTAGCCCTCCAGAAGTGAAGTTAATTTTGGGGGATTTATTTAATATTTGGTTGCTAATGCGTCATACGACAAATTAGTTTAACACAGATGTTCACATTTCTTATTCAGACAAACATAATAATTTACCCATGGTATTTCAATCACACGAGATAATACTCCCAGTTTATTTCAGATTCCATTTGGCTGATACGCTCATGAGCTTAATTTCCCATTCAGTAGCGACTGGACACATTCTGTTCTGATATACTTGATTCAATTTTTTCTGCTCTACCAAACCCTTATCAGGCTAGCACACACCTTCAGCGCTCAAGTGCTTATTGGAAAAATCCAGTGCAGGGGTGTGTTAATGTAATTTGCAACCATCTGGAGTAATTTACTTTAATGGAATACAAAATCCAAATATTCCATATTGAGGTTTCTTCTAAAATGAATATAGAAAAATAATCAGTGAGCTCCAAGTCAAACAGTGGAGGAACTTTCCTAGACTCAAGCATGCATCCTTAAAATATAGTATGTGAGACAGTTAACATGATTTTGTGTGTTTTTTGTTTGAGGCTGAAATTACACTAAAGCATTTATTTCAGAACCTTTTATAGGACCTTTTTTATTATTATTTTTATTACAGAAATAAAGAATCCGAATAAGAAAGAGACAAGCAGGTTCCTGTATATATGTCATGTTCCTGCTGTTTAAATAGTCAAGTTAGGAGTGTCAAGAAACCCCCAAAATGGCTTACTTACGAATCACTGCTGATCTTTAGGGGTGATCAGCAGGAAATGTCAACAGCAGCAATACAGTCATAGGACTTTCTATATTCCTGGTCATAATATCTAAATGGCTATGCCAAGTGGACATAGATGATAACACTGAGCTGTGTCTAACAAATACTATGACTAAATGGAAGGAACCTATGGGATCTGTAATATAATTGCTCAACTTGTGACCTTTCTTTTTTGTACACAAGTCTATGCTTCCCCAAAACAGGCATCATTCTCCGATACACATTTGGACAACATACATCCCTTGATAATGTAATGCCATTAGATAGATTATTGTTACACTGTTGGCTATGTAGAGCTAAAGTATCAAGCTGTGCAGCTGGTATGGGTGTGACATGGCCTCAGAGGAAAGAATTGACCTGTCATCTAATTACCGAGCTGGCTTTCTCTCTCTGCATCTTAATTCAGAGCATCTTAATTACAGAGATGTAAGCAGCTGCATGTAGTTTATTCTGCAAGTTGCTACTCAGACTGAGAACAGGTCCCTTACAGACACTGTCTGTCCTCATGTTATACTGTACAGCATAGTCTCTGTGGTAACATTTAATATCGTAATAAACAATTATATTTAAAGCCATGATTTATGGACTATTGAAACACAACCACTTAGTATTAACAATGTAAGCAGAAATTGTTTTCTCTCTGTTTGGTCTGTTGGTCATGAAAATGTCATTCCAGTAAATGCAAAATACAAAAGATTAATAATATTCTTTATTGAAGATTTCATTCCACTTTGTCTTTTAAGTAGCATATAAAATATGTTATTGAATTGATGGTTTATAATCAGCTTGTTTGCTTTTTAACATCAGGGATATAGCAGAGGCAGAACTGCCAACCAACTAAGCTAAACATATGATTCATATAATTATTGTATTAATACACAACAAATGCAGGTCAGCTCTTGAAGTTTTGATTTATTTGTCAACAAAATAACTTGTCTTTTTGTCCGGCAGGTACAGGTCAATTGAAGTTGAAGGAATCACTGAGGGATCTTTCCATGTGTGGTAAAAGTTGATCAAAAGCTTAATTCCTCAGGGATGTTCCCCAGAGGACACAGTGGACAGGATGAACCCTATAAGTCAGAGCTACTTCTTCTCTCGCCCAAGAGGCAAGATCTGGAGGAGAAGAGATCAAAGAGCCCCAATGTCGGGAAAAGAATGCGAAGAAAGTTGCAGAAGTGCCTGCAGGGGATCGAGGATAACTCCCTTTCTGACCTGTCGTCAGTGGACACTGCCTGCACCAAAGCAGACCTCATCCTGTGTGGGGAAAAGCCTAGTTCGGATTGCCTGGTGGGCGTTGGGGTTTTGGAGGATACTTTACCCAAACTGATAGAAAGGATCAAAAATAAAGAAGAGAAAAAGGAGATGGAAGATGAGGATGCTGAGCAAGGGTCGGGTAATATAGTGGAACATATCCTAAAAGAACTAAAGGGCATCAACAAGATCCAGGAGGAAATTTCAGACCTGAGGCAGTATCTAACATCTGTGCGAGGCTCGGTAGATGAGGTATCTTGTTGTGTTGATGCAGTTCTCAGTGAAATAGGCGAGCTATACTCTGGGGCTTCAGCTGCACCTGAACCTAGTCCTGTTTCTCAAACCCCCCGCATCAGGAGAGGAAGTTTAGGTAGACAGAACGCCATCACTTCACTTCACGGGCGATACACCAGTCCATTGTTGGATTGCAAAGATTGTGGAACAGATTGTGGATGCATGCCATCTCAAAGATCACCCGAACAATGGCATGTCGATCGAGTCACTTTCCAATCGGAGCAACAAACGGACAAAGAAAACTCAAAGCAGAGTTCAGATACACACATGCTAGGCCATACAAAACCTGACCCCTGCTACCTGGATATTCAGCGAGGCCATGACTACCAAAGCACTAGCTCTTTGTCTTCGTGTCACAGCTCCAATTGTCAAGAAGCAAGCTTTATCTCTGGTGACACACAATATCAAAGGTGGCCTTCTGGTGATATGCACCACAGTATAAGCAGAGAAACAGGTTGGAGCGAGGAGGACATATACTCTTGTGCCAATAGTAGAGAAGGGTTAGAGAATTGTCTTGGTGTTTGGGACAGGTGTGCCACAGAGGAGACAAGAAACAGCACACCTGGTCATTCTTCTCATGACAGCTCTGAACATCTGTCATTACTGTTTGGCCAACATTCTATCTCCCCAACTAGTTCTTCTAGTATGGTTGACTGGAGGCCACCTAGACTACAAAAGGAGGAAGAACACTTGGAGTGTGACTGTTCCGCAAACTGCCCGTACTCGCGTAGTTCTGGTTACCACACCATGGGTGCGTGTGCAAATGAAATGGGTAGCGATCCCTCCAGGAGCCTGAGTTGCTCCACCGTGCTTTTGACGGACTGTGATGATGGTTACCTGGAGACAAATTCACTGTGTGAGGACTGTCCATCTTCCGGTGATACTCTTGATCTGGGGTCTGCTGACAGTTTGAACAGGGAATGGACAGATCACATTCATTTCAAGGATGAAGCAGCAGAATCTTTGTCACCAGAATCTTCTGAAATAGATGCTGATAGCCCATCCAGGACCCCCAATGTAGGTTTTGATGTGAAAACTTTAAGTAAGGCTGTACTCACTTTCAGGTCAGCTTTGAAAGGGGCTTTGAAAAAATTGGAAGTGCCTAACCCTGAAGGTGTTAAAGATGATAGTGGGACGGAGGCAACTGCATCACCTGTCGGTCAACATAGTGAACCCAAGGAGGAAAGGAGCAGCACAGACTACAAGGAGGGAGAAGTTAGTGTGACAGAGAATCACACTCAATGCGGCACTCCAAAGCAGGAAAGTGAGGCTTCAGTCTATGTGGATTGTAATGAGACACGTGAAAACATATCAAGTTTCCTTCAAGCATCCCCCCGTGACGCAAGCCCCTCTCCCTGCACCCCAACTGAGTATCACTCTGTAGAGATCTCAGAGGACAAAGGAGAATGTCCAACAGATGGGGAACTGTCCAACTCTGACTTAACACCAGACCATTGTCCAATAAGGAAGGCCGACAGTCCACTGGGTACAGTACTCAGTACGAATGAGGTGCGGTTAAGTCCAATTAAGGAAAACCATGTTCCCGATGAGGTTATTCAAGAAAAGCACATGGATGCTAGTCACAAAGAGCGTGTAGCTAATTTCCAGCGCATTCTGAGGGAAAAGAGGCAAACACGTCATAGACTGTCCAAATCTTCTCATGGGTCACAGGGGTCCCATGGCTCTCAAGGCTCCCATGGCTCTCAAGGCTCCCATGGCTCTCAAGGCTCCCAGGGATCTCAATCCCAATCTCAAGATGAATTTTACCCAGGTATATTTTAATGATACTTTCTTTGACTTCTACTACTAAATAAGGCCAGAAACAACTGCCAAAAAACACATTGTGTCATTATTAGATATAATGTGTGTATGTTGCATTGAGACTCAATGTATATAGAGTTATACTGCCATCATTTAGAAACACTTGTTGATTTAAGAGTCATTAGTTGATTGCTTGTGACTCTTTTAACCAGTTTCAAACATGCTTGAAATAGTTTGGTCAACTTCAGCTACTCCATATGGTTACTAATTGTTCTTCGTTGTTTCTACTTATTTTGCAGAGTGTGGTGGAGAAGATAATCAGGTTACTCATATAACACTTTCTCTATAGTTATGCTTTTTTCCTGTTGATAATGTTGGGTTAACAGTTTTTCTTGTTCTCCATTATTTGCCTTTGTCAAAGGGAATGTATGTGTGCACTGCAAAGAAAATAACAAATGATATATCCAAGTTATTCTATATGATGAATAGTTTATAATTTGTTTTATTCATGTCATGTTAGAGAAAGATTCACCAGTTCTGTTCCTAGTGCTAGTGTTTGTGCAGCTGCTTTATTTTTCCCCTAATGTTTTTTAAACAATATAAGAAACTTACATTAACTAAGAGAAAGTAAAATAACTTCTTTACGTGTTTCATACCCAGTCATATAATTGGTGGTTTGTGAAAGCCTTGCAAATGTTTTATCTAGGCCTTCTGAATTACCTGGTCTTCTTTTAAAAGCAGATTGTAGGTAAACAGAATTTTCTTATCTTAATTTCTGTGAATATAACTTTTTCTGTGGTTTTGTCTTGTTCCTACATAATGTTGGTCCACCATTGCATTTCACAAAACAATTCATTTTACAATTAAAGAGCCGAGCAACATTAATGTGTTTCTGTGTTTTTTAAAAGCATCATCACTTCATTTTTATTTGACTTTGCATGTTCTGAAACATCAGAGAGGTGAAACTCAACCAAATGTAACTTTTTCCATTATTACAACGTTCCCTCTTCCCATAATATATACTGTTATTTTTTAGCCTTAACATTGTCAAGCTAAATTCTCTTATTTCAAACCTTGTAGGTCCGAGATGAAGAACCCAATGCAAGACAAGCCTGGGACAAACCAGGGTAAGTCATATATAGTTACCCCAACATTTGTTTGGCTTACCACAATTCTCAGAATCATGTTTTGAAATGTTTATTACAAATAATTAAAACAATTAACATTCAATGTAATACTGTTGTTTCATTTGATTATTAGGATAACCGTGAAAATGTAATGCATTGCCATGCTTTGTTTGCGAGGACTTTTCATTCACCTTCATTTAATTCTTCTTGGTGCAAAGGGGCGGACCTGGTCTGTATGGAATTGACAGCATGCCAGACTTGCGTAAAAAGAAACCTCTCGCCTTGGTCAGCGACGTGGTCAGTACTAAGTTGTCATTCACTATTATCTAAACTGTATGTCATACATCATCCTGTCTGTTTGGTTCATTCTATGTAAATGCATATATCTGTACTTGTTGGACCACCCCAGGAGTTACAGTTCTCTGTACCTTTGAGCTGAATTTAGGATGAGATTGTTATCAAAAAATGGAGACAAATATTAAATCAGCCTTCTAATTTCTCTCTCCCTCCTCTCTTAAACCCAAAACTATTCCCCACAACTCTCTTGAATGCACTCACTCTCCTTGGTCAGGCTATGGTAAGTTAATAGAACCCAGTTGCCCCTTCCCTTTTCTACCTAAGTACCAAAATATCAAGTAGGATAAATAAAAAAAGTAGTTTCCTCGAACATGTATGTCGATCACTTTGATCGCAAACCTCTGAAAAAACCTCTGAAAAAATTAAAACACTTGCATGCACCTTCTTGGTCATTGGTAGTTTGTATTCCTACTTGATATTAGCAGTAAAATATACTGTAACAAATCCTTCCTCCACCTTTTTGGTTTGTATTCTTTTTCACCCGCAAGCCACAAATAATAAAGGTACAAGGACAGAATACTCTACTAACACTCCATCAGAATGTCTGGCTGATGGTTTTGGTATCTTTTGATGGTGTTGTTACTGTACTGGTATAACGGTATCATTTGTAGCTGCTTAGAAATATTAATACTAACCTGGGTTTTCTGATCTTCTGGTAAGGATTCATCATTGGGAAAATAATAACCCTACTCACCACCCTTCCAACTACCCCAGCCTCATTTTTAACCACACTGAACCTTTATTTATTCATGGTAATATTTTGAGGTGTGCTTTGGTTGTGGGTTGTAGATTTGTTTCATAAATGCTAACATTTTGTCCGTCCGTCACCTGTTGTTCAGTCTCTCGTTCAAGCCAGGAAGGCGGGAATCGCTTCGGCCATGGCTGTACGGTCCTCGGTCAAGGACGGGGAGCTGGTGAGTACAACACCTTAAACTTCTTCTGGCTTCATTTTTGGAATCCACCAAAATATAACTATTTTGAGGCTGTAGTTGTTGTATGTTACCCTTTCTTCTTTCAACATAACTGAATCAGGAATTCCGTCTTTCACAAAAAATTCTTCCTTCTGTAGAAAAACCATGTGTACAAGAAGACCTTGCAGGCTCTCATCTACCCCATATCCTGCACTACACCACATAACTTTGAGGTGTGGACCGCCACTACCCCTACATACTGCTATGAGTGCGAGGGGCTTTTGTGGGGAATTGCCCGCCAAGGCATGCGTTGTTCTGAGTGTGGGGTCAAGTGCCATGAAAAGTGCCAAGAGCTTCTGAATGCTGACTGTCTACAGCGTGAGTACTGTACCGAAAACAATTACTAACATTAAAGGCTCTACTTCGAACTTGGATTTTATTCCTAAATACATTTCTTGTTGAATGTTCAGGTGCTGCGGAGAAGAGTTGTAAGCACGGGGCTGAAGACCGTACTCAGAATATTATCATGGCCATGAAGGACAGGATGAAGATCCGGGAAAGGAACAAACCAGAGATCTTTGAGCTGATCAGGGAAGTGTTCATCATAAGCAAAGCCATCCATGCGCAGCAGATGAAGACCATCAAGCAGAGCGTACTGGACGGCACCTCAAAGTGGTCAGCCAAGATCACCATCACAGGTGAAACTGACAGAAAACTGTTGAACTCAACCACATCATTAACCTTCAGCATCATCCTCATCTGTTTCATCTGATTCTTTTTAATGGTTATTCCAAATGTTTTTGGTTTTCCCTCTTCGCGATAGTCTTTTGTGCCCAAGGTCTTCAGGCAAAGGACAAGACAGGATCCAGCGATCCATATGTTACCGTTCAGGTGGGAAAGACCAAGAAGAGAACCAAGACTATCTATGGAAACCTCAATCCTGTCTGGGAAGAGAAGTACCACTTGTAAGTCACCAATTTTCCTTGAATATTAAATGTTTGTATAAATGTAAAAAATCTTGGCAAAGTTCTTTCTAATAGTCCCAAGCATACAACAAACTAAGAATAGCACTACCTTTTTCTTCAGAAACTCAGTTCCATCTCTCTTATTTATGCTATTGAGTCTTATATACTTTTCTTTGGGTTATATTTATTTTGTTCCTGTTATCTCGCTAGCGAATGCCACAATTCCTCAGATCGAATTAAAGTGCGCGTTTGGGACGAGGATGATGACATCAAGTCGAGGGTGAAGCAGCGTCTAAAGAGGGAATCTGATGACTTCCTGGGCCAGAGTATAATTGAAGTTCGAACTCTGAGTGGAGAAATGGACGTTTGGTACAACCTGGGTCAGTACGCTGTCTTTGTTATGAACATTCAATCAGAAGCATACGGTTTGTACATCAAACATTAAATAGAACCAAGTCAAGCACAAACCTAAAAACTCTTTTTTTAAAGGATGAACATTTAGACATAAGGATAGCACCACTGTAAAAACGCTAAGTAAAACAATAGCAGCAGTTTCTTTTCACCTTTTCATCAACATAAAATGCAAACTTGGAACTGTTCAGAGCAGTTTGGAACAAAGTAAAAACAATTCTTAACCCAAAAAGTAAGTTCCCAAATGTAATTTAAACAACCCTGGTATGTCTTGTAGGTACGTCTAGTGTGACATTTTCAGAAAAAAACTGTGTGCAATGTTATCAGTAAATAGTTGGTAATTTTTTGCTTTGTAAATGCAAATTACTTTAAAACTGAAGAGAAGCTACAGGTTACTGATGCAATCCACCATTTTGCTACTGTGTGTACAGTCTGCGTTTTCCTCTGTTGATTGCACGTCCTTGATCACAATGTTTCTACATAAACTGCTCCAAGTTTCCAAGAATCCCAAATGGAACTGGTTTAAAAAACCTGAGCTAGTTCAGTAGAAAGTTGTGCACTGGTACGAAACAAAACCTCCTTTTAAATATTTAAATACCTTACCCCACGGTCAATGGATCTTGACATACTGCATGTTGTTCCTCATTTACGATGTCTGTTTCGCTACGTTCTAACTTTGGCTTTGTTCCCACGTTCCCTCTTACATAGTACATTACTTTATATTAAAGTAGAATGTATCTACTACCAATGAGGCGCACAGTCGTAACACATCTATGTTGCTTTGTTGAGCAAGTAAAAGTTCTGCTTGCAGAAAGTTCAGTCAGTGTGTAGTTTGAAGCTCATTAGCCACGTTTATTCTGCCTCCAGCAACTTTTGTTTTTATCTTTCATAATAGTCTGCATTAAAATAACTGACTTTCTCTGGCAAGCTTTTTCCGTCAATTCCCTCTGCGATAGCTGACAAAAACATTTGGTTTCATTATATTCCCCAATACTTCTCCATACGGTCAATTATACAGGAGCTGATTTATTAGTCTATTTCCTATAAGCACTGGTTGTATAGTATAAGTAGCTCTGATTGGTTAGCTCTCTGGCTTTGACGTGATTGGTCAACCGGTTGCAATATATAAAGATCTCTCTATGCCTACCCCCCCCCCCACCCCCCCCAGTTCACTCATATATTGACCAACCTTAGGCATTGTCTCATGTTGGTTTGATCACTGTCCTTTTTAAAAGCACTACTCATTTTCACAGCCATGGTGCTTTAAAGACTGAGGCGTTCACTCCTTGAGCATCTCTCGTTTCTTCTTGATTGAAGTGCTCTAAATGACTTAACCGTGGCTTTAATAAATCTCCCATTGAAACAGCATGACACTGAATATGAATGTGCCAATAAATCAGCTGTGTCTCACAATCTGGTATCCATGAAGTGCTCAATCTAATATCTCCCTGATAATCACATCAACAAGGACAAATATAAATCTGGTTCGGGGTCATTAGAAATAAGACTTTGAAGCAGCATTTTCTCTATCTCTATCTTCTTGCACTTTCCCTGTTTCTCCTCCTGATGTGTGATTATCAAGAAGCAGTCGGAACTAGTCGGAAATCGACCGCTCGGCTCGACATGTACTAATTACCCCTAATGATATGCCTGTCAGGGCAAATAGCAGGGGCGAGCTGCCAAGTACTACACCCTCCAGGAAAGCTCTGGTTCAAGTGTCTTCAGCCTACTGCCATTGTCTCCCTCACCCTCAAGCGTTGCCATTAACTGCAGAAACAGAACCCCCCCCCCTTCTACATAGCTCTGCCATGGTAATAGCCTGTAATTAGTGATAAAAACAGACCTTGATCCATGTGCGCCTCCATGTCATCGGAGTTATGAATCGAGAACGCATGTACATGTATCTGAATGTAATTTATGTTTAATTACAGAGAAGAGAACGGACAAATCCGCCGTGTCGGGTGCCATTCGCCTTCAGATCAACGTGGAGATCAAGGGAGAGGAGAAAGTGGCTCCATATCATGTGCAGTACACCTCCCTGCATGAGGTATTTGATTTTCCTCTTGCCATGGGTTGTGCTAAACACACATGGTATCAATGAGCATTGCATGAAATTAGGAATTATGTTGTTGATAATCATGATAATCTCATTACAGTACTTGCCATGGTTGAATTGTTTGGAAATATTTCTTCTTTATTCAAATGTACGGAGGCCAACAAATGAAAACACGCTACAACGGCCCAAAATAGATCCATTAGGAAAAACGCGCTGCAGCGTCTGAGATGACGTAAATAATAAATACACAAATGTGCCACAACATATACCAATGAAGAAACATCTTAACCAATTGGACAAAACATGCACATTGTTAACCGAAAGCGCTGCATAAACAAAACACTGCAAGAAGCACACAACTGAGTGCGGAGCGCTTGCTTTTTGATTTTTCGGGGATTACAAAGTTGGCCATAATATCAGAAGGAATCATGCGATTACATTATCAAAATATGCCCAAAAAACTGTATTGTCAACAAGCGCTCAGGTCCCAGCTGTGTGCATCACCTCTAGTGCCCCCGTTTTGGTTGTGTTTTCAGTTTCTTGCATCGTTTCGTTTATGCAGCGCTTTTAGTAAACACTGCGCCTTCGTTTCATCAAGTTGATTAATGTTTTCTAAATGCTGCGCAAGGGTTGTCAAGTTGGTGAAGATGTTTCAGCATTTGCATGTTTTTTGTCACATTTGTGTTTTTATACTTGCATCATTACTCAAGCTGCAGTGTGTTTCTCCTAATGGAAGAGTTTTGGCTTGTTGGAGCATGTTTGCACCTGTCGGCCACCGTACAATCGTACTTCAATCTCAAAACATAAGGCAAAAAGGCTGGAAGAGACCTACTGTATGAAAGCCATTCAGATGACATTAACACATTGTATCCGTGCATTACAGAACCTGTTCCACCACTACACCGATGTTCTCGGCCAAGGCGGGGTGAAAATCCCAGAAGCTCGCGGTGACGACTCCTGGAAGGTCTACTATGACGACGTAGCTCAGGAAATCGTGGACGAGTTTGCCATGCGCTATGGGATTGAGTCAATCTACCAGGCCATGACGTAAGTATCAGATATGAACTTTCTCCTCAGCCCTGTCCATGTGTTTGTCCCATCCACCTTTTGCTCTCACATCAAAGTGCCTCTCAGTGGCTTAGTAGTTCCCTGTTGGCCTCCGAATGAAGGAAAATCAATTATAAATGGGCGGAGGATGGATTTGTCTCCATGAGATGTCATGCAACAATATAAATGCCTTATAGCTGGGCCCATCACTCACCCAAAGCACACCCCAATGGGATCATCCTTCTCCCTAAATGTGCCAATGAGCTGACGGGCAGATGAAACGACAGCAGGGCAGATGTTTCTAAAAGGGATCATTAGCTGAAAACAAGTTGATTACGCAGGCTGATCAAATAAAGACATGGCCCTGTACTCCCACGTTGCTTTGAAAAAAAACCTTTCCTCTGTGACAAACAAATGTCCCAGGTCTTCATCAAGCATTCCCTGTGCTTTTCTTTCAAGGCACTTTGCCTGTCTGTCGTCTAAGTACATGTGTCCCGGGGTTCCCGCGGTGATGAGCACCCTGCTGGCCAACATCAACGCCTTCTACGCCCACACAACCGCCTCCACCAATGTGTCCGCCTCCGACCGCTTTTCTGCTTCCAATTTTGGGGTTTGTATTAATTTAGCACACACAGACAATACATAGGTCTTTAATTTATTTCTCTCTTTCTTTCTCTAATATTAAAACATAAACATACAACAATTTGTGTGTTTGTCCTTATATATAAATGCTGATCCTGCTTTCCATTTAAAATCTCATTATTTATTAGACATATACATTATATAATTAGAAATATGTTTGTGTACATATGAAATCTCATTGTTTTTGTCTTTTATTCACCGTACAGAAAGAACGCTTTGTGAAGCTTTTAGACCAGCTACACAACTCCCTGCGCATTGACCTCTCAACCTACAGGGTAAATTATCTGATTGTAACTCATATATATTCCTGCCATTAAGGCCTGATATTGTTTGGAAAAAGTCAATAGTTTCCCTGATATCTTTAAACATTTATTTTGCTATGTTGGTCAGGTTTCTTTTATTATCACTCTATATGCAAAGTTGAATTCAAGTACCTCTTCCCTCACTTGTTTTCATTAATATGACACAGGCAATTGCAGAAAAACTGTTTAATTTACAATGACTGTTAGTATTTGGGTCTCTTTTGTAAAGTTAAGCAAATGACACCCTCTAAAGAAGGAACAGGGGAAAATCGTGCAATTATAATGTTTGAATCTGCATTTTGTGACATGTATAAAACAATTTTCCCTCTGTAGAACCACTTTCCTGCCAGCAACAAGGATCGCCTGCAGGATTTGAAATCCACGGTGGACCTTCTAACCAGCATCACCTTCTTCAGGATGAAGGTAGTGTTTCATGTTTTTCTTTTTAAAACCTATGCATTCTGTACGAAACGGTTATCAATTGTTTTTTAAATATGACATTTTGTCACAGCTTGTCCATGAACTCCCAACCTGATAGTGTAGATGTAGAGTAGTTTATGTATTTACTCCCCTTATAGCAGATAACCCTTTCCTTTAACTTAATGTAAAAAAAAATTGGGTAACAATGATTGTTTGCCGTCATTCACTGCCAGTGTTGCTATCTCCCTCTGGTGTTTAGGTCCAGGAGTTACAGTCTCCACCCAGAGCCAGTCAGGTGGTGAAGGACTGTGTCAAGGCCTGCCTCAACTCCACATATGACTACATCTTCAATAACTGCCATGAGCTGTACAGCAGACAGTACCAACCTGTAGACACAGTAAGTCATGTGCCAATCACCCAGCTGCGTCTACATGACATTTTATTGGGTTTTAGTTTTGAAATTCAACATCAGGATACTGTCTGAACTACACTCTGAGGGTGCTCTGCTGTCAGTTAGATGTCAGATATGGCTGTCAAAATGAATTTAACTCACTAGAAATATGTATTGTTTATTATTCAGGGTCTTTTCTTGTGCCAAAGCAATTGCATTTTTAAGGACCTATTGCATTACGCCCTCTAAAAAATGTTCCCAAAGAACCCCTTGCTATACTCTTTACTTGGTTGTTTAAGTAAGTAATACCAGACATGTGTTTCAGATGTAAACTGATTGTTTGGAAGTCTCTTTTCGGTGGCTGACTGTGTTGTTTTTCTAATCTAGAACAAAGATGAGCTCTCTTTGGAGGAGCAAGGTCCGAGCATCAAGAACTTGGACTTCTGGCCCAAACTCATCATGCTCATCGTCTCCATCATTGAAGAGGACAGGAACTCCTACACGCCTGTGCTCAACCAGTTAGTGACATGCACACATTCCCTTTATCTTTAACTGTTTTTAATTGCAGGAAACATAATGACCTATAACATCTTAAGTGGTTTCCCTGCATCCTGTCTCATGCATTTTTTGTTGATGTCTATTCATTGCGTTTAAGTACAGTATATGCACATAGGATTAGGCTACACATATATTTTTAGCATTATATTACATATTATATTTTTCCATTTTCCAGTGGTAACTGTGTAGGATTGTTTATTTATGCTTAAGAATAGGAAATGTATGTCAAATGATCTCTCTTAGATTCCCTCAAGAAATGAACGTGGGGAAGGTGTCAGCCGAGGTCATGTGGACATTGTTCGCTCAAGACATGAAGTATGCCATGGAAGGTAAGTCACACCCAGTGTCAGATATCCATCATCACATAGTATATAGGATACAACTTGGGTATATCTATTCATAATATCCTGTAGAACCATACCAAAGACTCATGGTACTATTATTACTCTACTGGGCTAAATTGTGTAAGAACATGGAGAAGACATATTTATATTAAAAACATGAAGATAGAGTGCATAAAGTGTACTGTAGAGCACAACCAGTCACCAGAAGCAGTCAGATTTGTATCACAGCCCCTGTCCTCGAGATGAATCCCCTACAGTAACGACAGTCTGTGTCAGATCAATGTTTGCGAGTAAGCCTCACAAGACAGTTATGAAATTAGTATCTGTAGAAACGTGTTTTAAAAAAGAATGTTCAAAATGGCGAGCCGGAGATATCCTGACTTTTAGGTATGAGTCCCAGTCTAAACAAACTTGGTTCTTCCCTTTCCCATAATGCTATGGCATACATCTCTCTGTATGTGTTTGTATTTGCAGAGCACGAGAAGCACAGGCTGTGTAAGAGCACCGACTACATGAACCTGCACTTCAAGGTCAAGTGGCTCAACAACGAATACGTCAAAGACCTGCCGAGCTTTAAGGACGTTGTCCCCGACTACCCATCGTAAGTGCTTTTCCCTCGCAGGCACGGGGAAACATTACAACTTTTTTTTTAAAGAAACTTTTGATTCCCAATTTATTGATCGATAAACCAGGTATTGGGAAATATATATATATATAATATATTATCCAAATTAATAAATAATTCCAATTGTTTTTACTTTCAGATGGTTCCTACAATTCGTGCTTCAGTGGTTGAAGGAAAATGAGGGCGTGTCCATGGAGTTCATGAATGGAGCGCTAGAGCGAGACAAAAAAGACGGAGTAAGAAAGTTGAAATTGACTTTAGCTGCTACTAATGGTTATTTTATTATATATAATTCTGCCCATTATTTTCTAGTGTCGTCTATTATTTGTTTCTTCAAAAAATGTCAGAAAACTGAAAAGTACTGGTTTTGCAAAGTCGTAGTTTTGTCATTCCAAAACCAAAATATATTCACTTTAATAGGATAAATAAAAAAGAGAGGTACTTGAAAAGTTACTTCAGCTGTATGATGATCTTTCATAAAAATGGTTTAACCTTAATTTCTGATTTGAACGTTTTTCTTTTACAGCATGTAGATATTTTTAAAACTCTAATAACTGTATGGTCAATGTATTTTTTTTTTTGTGTCTCAGTTCCAGCAGACGTCGGAGCACGCTCTGTTCTCCTGCTCCGTGGTGGACATCTTCACGCAGCTCAACCAGAGCTTTGAGATCATCAAGAAACTGGAGTGTCCCGACCCCGCTGTCATGGCTCAGTACAGCCGCCGCTTCTCCAAGGTAACACCCAACACTAAAATCACATTGCAAAATAATTCAACAGGGGGAAAATAAAAAACACTGCATTATTGTAACGTTTAGTTGCTTGAGCTACATGAAACATGGATTTAGTTCTTAAATGTGCATAATTGATAATACATCGAGGATCATGAAGCAGAAAATGACTATAAATATTTTATTATGCTAGAAACAAAATATGTAAGGAAAATGTAAGATATAGGGGAAATAACAAAATGGCTACAGCATTGTCTGGAGGGACATTCACAAGAGAATTTTATATGTTCTCATTAAAAATAAATGTTGTATTGGTGGTAGTACTCCCCTCCCTCCAATTTTTCTTTGTTTGGGGATTTCCTTTCCTTCATGCCAGAAAATTCATTACAGGACAATTGGGAATGTTTTAAATAGCAACATTTGGGAGTGATCCTTCGGTGTAATATAGTCCCCGTGGGATAAGGTCTAATCGGATTTCAAACTTTTTGTTTCAGGCGACATTTTGTTCCATACACTTTTTAAATACATTTAATTTTCTCTCTCTCTCTTTCAGACTATTGCCAACGTTCTTCTGCAGTACAGTGCCATTCTGACCAAGAGTTTTCCTACTTATATTGACAAGGAGAAGATTGTAAGTTGTCAACACCTTATAACATGACTTCCTCAAACTTCTTTTACATAGGTTTTGAATATTCAATATAATAGTTATTACAATTCCCTGTAGAGTTCCTGCTACATGTGTGTAATGTGTTTCCATTGTCCTCTGGCAGCCATGTGTCCTGCTGAATAACGTGCAGCAGTTAAGAATCCAGCTGGAGAAGATGTTTGAGTCGATGGGTGCAAAACAGGTAAGCATACAGACAAAGGTGAGCATGATGTGCTGTGGCTTCAAACGGGATAGATGACTGCAGTATACCACTACGATAATGTTAATAGCAATGCAGTATTAGGGCCATTGTGGGTTTTAAGTTACTACCATGGCTACTTATTTATTTGTTTATTCATTTAATATATTTGAACTCTAATATGATATTGTCTTAAAACAAAGAAAATAATCTTGAGTAAGAAATTCAGATATTCTAGTGGTGATTGCTTGTTCATCAGTTATTTTTGTGTCTCTTGTGTATCAGAGTGCGACGGAAGAAGCGCTGGTAGGTTCAGTAGTCTTAGTTGTGACCATGTGAAGTAGAATCCTCGTACTAGGACATCATCTTTGTTCCTAATAAAGCCGGAGTGGAAGTTGTTCAACAGGTCGATACGCCGTCCCGATGTCTGATGTGATGCTTTCAATGACGCATAAGCATAGATCAATACTGACAGACATTAGCCTCATACCTAATGAAATCATGTCCTCTGTCTTGGTGTAGCTACAGTGTGAACAATCAATAGCCTCTGTGTCAGATCTGACCTCCCACTGCTTTAAATCACTCGCCATGCTTTTACATTAAGTGTTTTAGCCCATTTAGTGTAGATGTAGCTTTTTTGTGGTCAATTGTAGGACTACAGTTGTCAGACACTGTAGCTAGAGTTTCAACCAGTGTGTTCACTTTACAACTAAAGCTAAATGGAGAGATGGAAGAGGAAAATGAGGAGGAAATGAAGAAGGAGGAGGAACAGGCAGGGGAAGAGGAGGTAGGTTTCCTTCATGGTCTTTCTGAGTAGCCGAAACGGGCAGATGTTAAAGTACATATTTTGGTTGTTTAATCAGTTAAATGGTGTGTGGTACACGCCTGTATTGATTATCTTCATCTGCCTCTGACTTGGAAATAGGTCATGACTGAGGATAAGGAAGCAGAGGCTCTGGTGGGTACTGTGGGTGGTAGCATATTAGAATCATTGGTAGTAGTTTCAACTGTAGTGTAGAGACCCGTAGATCCACTATCTTACTTAGCCACCCCTTCTCTAATTGTTTACCTGATGATGACACTTGATTGGTAGTCAGGACGTAGGACATAAATGTCTGTCGCAAATTCCCCTGCTATGTATGCCTATTTCTTCTTTTATGAAGTACAAATGTGAAGTTCATGGTTTTGCTTGGGGAAAAGTCAACCAAATTCACTGCAAAAAACTGAAGGTCGCCATATCTGCAGAAAAAACTGGTTATTTAGAACCTCTTATTTCTAAGGTTGGTTGTTGAGATAAGTCACTTTGTCTTGCAAGTATTTTACTGATGTTGATGTTACACGTGAGCTCTTTGAAAGGTTAAGTGAGTGGCTTAAACATATCAGGAAATCATTAGATACTGGAGTTCGGCAAAGAATATTCTTTACGGAAGTGGAAAATGTATCTACCACCAAAATGTTTTCAGCTTTCTGGTCAAATGTAGCTTTTTGTTTCAGGGTGAACTTTATTTTCCTTATGCACAAGCTATAGCATATAGGAAATAAAAATATCTTGATACAGATTGATTTCCATTTTGATAGATTTAAGTATGTGATTTAAAGATAGCTACACCGAATTATATGAAATTCATCAGTCAATAGCCAAGCTGCTAGCTTGTGAGGTATGCTAAGCTAATTACCGCTAGCAGGAGATGTGTTTTTTTTAATTATTTTCTAGGGGTTCAACTACTACTAATTTCATAATCTGGATTTGAAACTATATTACTGATTTCATTCAATTAAATCAAAATGGGTACTTTTCTTTAACCCTATGGTATAAATAATCTGTAATGTAAAGGTTTAGCTTTAGCTAAGGCTAGTTTAGGCTAAATGATCAGTTAGTATGCACTGGATGTGCTTCTCTTGTTGTCTACTCTGGGTGAAAATGCAACTATCGGTCTCAAGTCATTACTACGTAAGTAGTGAATCCGTTTTTACTCCAATACATTTTTTGGTTCTCAATTATGTTTTTCCCTCTCTTTTTCTAGCCCAACAATAGAATGCTAGCATGGCAGGCAAGTTCTCTGTATATGCAAACATGTTTGGTGCATGTTTGCATATACTCAAATATTACATCACTTGTTATGATTTTGTGCAAAATAGAAGCTCTTAAATTATCTTGAACAAACAAACTTTGTTGATTACGATTGTGGTATTTTGCGGCAGTGAGATTTAACTACATTGTGTTGTCTTTTCACTGCCACTCCCAGTTTGAGGAGAGTGATGATGAGGAGGAGGAGGAGGAAGAAGAAGAAGTAGGGGAGAAAAATGAGGTTGAGGTTTGTTGCAGTGTGAAGTGCTTTAACCTCATCATTCTTGTGGGCCATGTTCTTCCTACTCACAGCAACATCTTAGTGATACTCAGTCCTACTGACACAAGCGTGGTTATCATGGTGGAGTTTATTGTGTTCATCTTTTATCACGTCATCTGTGGTGAATTCCACATCAAAATCTTTACCCTCTTTCACTTTTGTTAGCCTTTCCTTCAAAAGTCATTCCCCCCCAGAAAAAAAAGGTTATTTCTGACATTTTGTTGTTTCCTTTCTTTAATTTTGTGTTTTCTTTGTAACTTTGTGTTGTAATAGCCTGACTCGGAGAAGGTGGGTGAAAAAATATTATCTTTCCAATGGGAAAAACTTAAATATTTGTATTCTTTAGATTTTACTCTACAGGGATGCAGTAACAGAACCGGAGTCGTTTAACAGTTTTTCATTTTCATTTTTTTACCATTACAACCACACAAAGATTGATGAACCAGTAGACAAGGTATGCATACCAGTATCTGCTGCCACAGCACTTTGTGTAATGGTAATCGATTCTCCGTAGTCATTTTGAAATAAATGAATTACCAAATGGGAGATGAAATGTTAATCGAGGTTGTCCTCTGTTACCCTCTACATCTCTATGCTGTCGTAGCCATGTGAAGACAAGAAGGTGGGTGCAGGAGTAAAGAACCATAAATATTAATATCCCCCAAAAATACTCCCAGGCAAAACAAAACCCGTAGAGCACATTACAAACTAACACAATCCATCCCTAGCTGCCTTTCCTCCCCTGAAGCCTTCCCTTTGTGCTGCGTCTCAGTCTCTCCTCACTAATGGTCCTACACCACCCTGACAGGCCATGAATCAAAAGGCCATTGGATCATTGACTTAATGATCCGTGCCACGGTTTAGCTTCCCTGCAGGCAGTGCTTATTTAGATGTCCCACAGTATACCTGCGTTAGGTATACTGAAAGGTAATTTGCTTTGCTACTTGTTCCCTCGCCCTGTGCCTGTGTGAGTTGTATGACACTCACATCTCCAGCAATATTAAACTTTTTTTTTTTTTTTTATGCGCTACCTTCGAAAGATTGACATTGCTGGTAAAAAGGTGGGTTTTACTCGGATGTGTGCCTTGAATTTTAATAATGTCTTCTACTCTTTACAAACCACAATTGTGACTTTTGTGATGGAGTGTATATTATAAATATTATTACAGTTTTGGTGCTTTTGCATGCCATTGGATAGTCCCAGTTGCAATGTTATGAAGCAACAACCAACCAACTCCTCCTAGAACGAAACCCCCCAACGCGACAGACTTAATAACTAAGTACGCGGTAGACCAACAGAGAGGGGAAATCCCCCAGGTTTTTGTGATTATGAGTATTGAATTTTACTTTCCCACAAATGAAATAAATTTTTATTGTGTACAAGTTACACTTTACACTGTCAATCTATCCTAATCGACGTTAAAACCACGGGGATAATTTATACATAAATAATTTTCCTTGTTTTGTTGAACGTTAAAGTCCCCCCCCGGCGCCCCGGATCAGTTCTGTTGCCATTCCCCTTTGTGGACCACTGGAGATTTACCGTTTCAGTAAACATATATAGGCCAAAAACCATAAAAACTACTTTTAAACGACAATCTTAGTTCGGACCCTTTATTGAGAATAAAAGATCGATCGTAAATCAAAGTGTCAGTACCTGTATGGG